TCTTGTGTTATGAATTGATAAAATGCATTATTTTGATTTGATTTCTTATGTGAATTTTTACATGTCTAAATTATGTATTTTTCATATCTGTGGAATGATGGAACGTAGAAACATGCCTAGGATTCCTGAACATTAAATAGAGACTAGGTTTGGGTTTTAATAAATTTAAATAGACTCAATCATAATGATGCTTGCTATTTGAATGTTTTAAACAAACGAATGGATTTAATCTTTTAAAATATTTTAGCAATTGAGATTAAATGTGTAGGATGAATTGGATATAGAGAATCCTTATTTAACGGTATAATAAAATATCATCATGTATAAGATTCAGTTTGTGTAGGACATATGATATAGGAAGTTTAAAAAAATAATAAGTCATTCCTATTATGTGATAACTTGATATCATATTTATCATAGTTATTTATGGAATGTTTGATGTATTTCCTTAATTGTTACATCAATTGTTGGATTGTGTGGTTTAATGCACCGGTATGGGACGGTGGCATTCTAGGAATGGATTAACTTATCAGTTAAGTCCTACCTATTTTATATAAGGGAATGGATTAACTAAAATTTAAGTCCTACTTATATTTAAGTCAGGTCAGCTAAACAAGTTGAATGACTTATGGAGGATTAATTTATTATATAAGGGAATGGATTAACTAAAATGTTAAGTCCTACTTATATTCAAGTCAGGTCAGCTGAACAAGTTGAATGACTTATGGATGATTAATTTATACTGGATATGATGGTTACTAGATTATATATATATAAGTATGGTGCCATGATATGAGCTTGAGTCTCAGGGTCAATGGTTAGGGCGCGTATATCGCCAAGGATGTGTAGCTAAATATAGTGTAGTTGTGTACCCCGGTAGGTCTAGGTACTCATGCCCACTATATGTGCGTTTTGCATGTTGCCTACTATTCAAGTTGAGGCAATCCTATAGTCTAGTGAGGTTCCTTTAGTGTGTATATATATATATACGGATTACTAGTTACTGTTGGATTGACTAGGATGTATACGTGTATCGGATCTCTGCTTGGACTGTAGTAGAGTAGAACTTGTTTATGGGCCTGACCCACCATTATTTTTCAGGTGTTCGTCACGAGTAGAGGTTGTTCGTGCTGAGCGGGGATCAGTCTACTTCATTCTTCCGATGCTACATAGGAGTTCCTTTATGATTCAGTTTCCTGTTTTAGATTACTGTCATTTGTTTAGTTTGAATTTTCTAGGGGTCCACACAGTATGGATTTCCGAGTTGTATTTTGGAGGATCAGTTGTATCAGAAGAGTTTATTAATTAATGGAAATATATTATGAGGTTTATTATTAGATTATCATTTTAGTTTCTTGTCAGCATTTTATTTATTCTTCTTTATTCTTTTGTACTCTGTGTTCGTTTATTATCAATTTGTTTTGATATCCTCGGGTATTCGGGCGTGGGCCTGGCCAACCCGCATTCGGAAATTCGGGGGTATCACACAATCGTTCTTATGTGTTTTGAATTTCTTATATGAAGAGACAGAACACACGCCAAAGGCGCTTTGGATTGGATAATCCTCTGCAGCTGAGATGACCAGGCCCCCCTAACCCCTATTATGTTGTTTCTCTAACCCTTTTCAAACTTGATTGTGTCTTTACATATGGACTTCTTTTCAATCGGGTAAAGGTGGTAGAATGGTTCCTCAAGTCGGATCTTACTAACCTTGTAACAGAGAAGAAAATCTATGATATCAAGATCCAGACCTCTGTCACGAGTCAGTAGTAGCAGAACGGATAGGATCCTAAAAAAATTTGGATTTACCTGCAGAGGGGAGATCCCTAGTTTGTTGAAAACATAGTCAAAGAAAGGATGCAAAGGGAACCTAATGATATTCAACTGAAGATGGGTAAACAAGACTTCGCCGGGAAGAAGGCCAGCACCAGTCCTGATATCCACATCTTTAGGGTAGTTTCTAATTTCTATATCGACATGGAGATGAAGTTTCATGCGAAGAACATCTAGATCTACAGGCATAGCGAAAATGAATAAGCATTTTAAGGAAGAAAAAGAGATCTTCTAAAAGAAAAAGGCAAACAAAACTAACCTCAAAAGGAGAAAACGTCAAAGAGTACTGCAAGATCGCTGGAAAAAGGAGCTTTCACAGAGGTTCACCGGAGGAGATTTGATTTGATTTGAAAAAAGGCAAGCGAAGATTTGGCTAACAGCGATACAAGATAGAGACAGTAAAAAAGGATTGAGGGAACATCTCTGATACTTATAAGGACAGAGTGGGCCCGAAGGTCGAAGCGTAAGGAAAACGAGGAGTTTCTTTGGAATCTCGAAGCATCGGTTTTAGATCCGACCATCCATTTTCCCACGAGGTCTTCTTGAGCCGTCAACGTCATAATTGGCCGCCGATAATAATTACCCCCTTATTTATTAGGGGGTAATTATGGGGGCAATTGAGGATATCAAAGATGGATTGGACCAGACCCGATCCGCGAGTAGAGCATTAGGTTGAATAGTAGGTCCGAGCCCAAGCAAAAAGGGTAGCATAATGAGCCCAACACCCACGAAAGAAGGATCGGACCGAACAGTTGAACTCAGCCCATAATGCAACACTATGAGTTAGGCCCAACGTCTGAGACTTACATAATGAAGTCAGGCCCAAAAGGAAGAAAGCCCAAGAATAAGAGCCCTATGTAATAAGTTGGTTAGAGTATTTGTAATGGTCTATAAATAGACAATACGAGTAAAGAGAAGGGGAGGTTTTTTGAGTTTTCATTCTGTTAAAGTGTAAGAATTCTAGAGAGAGAAAGGTGATTGAATCTCTCGCATCTTCAATGGTTCCCTTATAATATTAAAAGGTGTTTAATAATGAAATTACTGACAACCCTCCAAAGTCTAATGAAGCTCTTGCTATTAAAGAATCAAATTCAATAATAAAATACTAGGTAGTATTAATTATGATGGTAATACATATAACAAGTTAACAACACCTTGTAACTTATACATATTTAAAATACACATTTCGAATTTAATTTGAGATGTGTAACGCGGCTGGTAAAGGAAATGTTTGCCCTCCACATGGAAAGCAATAGCACGAGATTATATATATATATATAAGAGAATTAAATTTCAAAATGTGATTACTCGATAATTTCCAGCTTTATTTGAGCTTCCTTTCAACTAGGATGGAAAAGAAGGGAAAAAAAACAAATCAACTTTCTCGACTAATAAGAGGTTTCATGTTTTATTTATTATTTATTATTTATTTATTTATTTTGATGGTAAAGCAAACACACACACACTTTTTTGTCTATGCTGGGGCTCGAACCCCTCCCTTCTTTTAAAGATGGGGAGGTTATACCATTGGGTCAAAGACCCTTTGGTAGGTTTCATGTTAGTAACTAAACCGATTTTAAAAATATATATTATAGCTAAAAATATTGGCCCTTATGAGAGAATTAAAGAAAAGAAATAATAACTTAATCTTATTATTAATTTGATAAATTATAATAAAAAAGAAATAAAAGGATGATAATAATCTCTAGCCTTGTTGGGCAAAGATAAAGAAGAGAATTCAAAAAAAAGTTGGTTTATTAAATTAAATTTACTGTCATTTATCGCAAAAGGGTACCTTTTTCGTCCTTACATTAAGGCAACTTTTGGTATCAAATCCTCCCAAATTTTGGAAAGATATTGAAAATACGACTTGAAAAATTCAATCCCTCCTAATTCTTCTTATTTATTATTTATTTATTTATTTATTTTTTTTGGAAGGTAAATGTGAAGTGTATATATATATATATATCTATATATATATATATAAAAATATACATCAGGCCTAAGCCCAATCAAAAACAGCAGGCCAGTAAACACCACAAGCCCGAGCCCAAACATAAGCAACAGGGTTACATCAGCCTTGCAATTGGTCCAATACCGTTATAGCCTAGGGTTTCCTAAACTATCACTGCCTTATCCAGAAGCATCCGGTGCAGCAAGAAGGGGCTATGCAGAAACATAGCAGAGCATCCGCACACCATTAACATGGAATCACGTGTACTTCTACGAAGGCGATGTACCTGTATCGTGTCTATACTAATACTCCTTGAATACTGGATGTCTTATATTTCTTAAACACATTAATAATTTTAAAATAATTTTTTTTTTTTTTTTTTTTTTTTTTTTTTATCAGATACGGATTAATTCTTAGAATTATTCTTTAAAATACATTTTTAACAAGTTTTTAATATTAAAATGTAATTTTTTCAACAATAATATAATAATATAATTGTTGAGAAAAGTTCAAAATATATTAAGTGATGACTAAAGATGCTTATTTTATGTTTTATGAAACAAACTCTTATATTATATTTCTAATTGCATTTAAATTCATAATATTTTTAAAAATTTGACCAAAAATAATATTTTTTGTATATATAAATATATAGTTTATTATTTTTTTGTGTCAGATATTCCTAAGTATTAACCAAACATGAAAATAACAATCCATTTAATGTCTATCACTATTGAACAAGTCCACCACTCTCTCTTGCTAACTAGGAACACCCTTGCAGAAGCTCAAAAAATGGTACCTTAAGATCCTTGACACCTCGGTTTCAATCAAACAAGTTAAATAATGAAATGAGTAACAAATAAGGATCAAAATGACGACAACATGGAACTCGTTCAGTCATTGTCATGGTCATCCCCCTTCTTTTTTCTTTTTTTTTCGAAAAGTTAAGCAAACACGCACCCATGCCTCGAGCACCCGACCTCTCTCCCCCTTTGGAGAGAGGGTTTGTACAAGCGGGCTATTGCCCATTTAGAAGTTAGAACACAAGATTGAGTATAACACAATCCGATTGTTCCAGCCCTGGATTCTTTGGATTGATCAAATAAAGAACTTGCCCTCAAACTTAAATCACAGTGAATTGCTCCAGACTTTCAAGAGCAAGATTAGATTCAACTTAAACCAAACTAAAAATGCAAATCAGGAAGTGACAACATAATAAAATCAGAAATTGTCATAAAAGCATCCTCTGCCATGGTATTAGTCTTTCTAACAACTAAAACGAGTTTTAACATCGAGAAAAAGCTCACCGGAAAACACGCCTTGGTTTTAAATAATTAAGAACACAATTAAGCTCAGTTACAAAATCTAGAAGACGACTGTGTCAAGCATGGTGCCCAAAGTCTGAATAATGTTTGAAGACATCAAATTGGAAACATGTTCTTCGAGATGTTTCTTGGCATCTTGCCTTCCCACGTTTGCGATTGCAAGTTTCTCTGGGGGCAACTCATCCTCTTCCTGTACTGCCTTGTTATATTTGATAGCTAGGTTTAGCATTTCCTGCACATCCCAAGAAATAAAATTAAGACACGATTCTGACCATAAACGCATGCCAACTAAGATGCGGCTCTCCTATTTTAGTACACGCAGTTTTTAGAGTTCTACTACAGGGAACTCATGCTTCATGAACTTCTAGTCAACGGGCATTCCAAATTTCCAAGAAAGCACCAAATAGTGTTCCTGAATGGGTGTTCCTTGTATGACCAAATGGCTCAACTTATATACCTTCAAAAAGGCAGGAGGGTGTATTCTACTCCCTAAATTAAAATTTAAATCTAGTTGGCAAATGTGAGAACGGGGATTTGAAGGCCGCCACTTGTGCAAATAATGCCAAAAGCTAGGTTAGAATCCAGTCCACTCCACACAGCCCTACATTGGCAAGACAAGTGCAAGATAGTGCCTTTTTTTCATTCAGTCAGATATCTGCCATACTGGATAAAAAAAGAGACATAAGTAGCCTTTTCATTATGCTAGACATCTTACCTTGGACTGACACATATTTGTGTCCTTCTAAATTTACAATTCAAAATTTTGTGGGGTTCGGCATGAAACCCCTAGCATCCATGTTGGATTTACAAGTGTCACTGAATCTTGTCATATGTGCCAAATGCAACCAAAAACCGAGACAAAAGAGTTCAAAATTTAAGTTCATGAAATCACATCTTACCTGAACAGTCTGCTCATTGGTTTTGGAATGGGTGTCAAATCTCTGAAGTGTCAATCCATCAGTCCATTTCTTCTTGTGAAGGTTCAATAACATCTTTTCTTCAAGTTCATTCTTCCTGTAGTTAATGGCAATTGAGTAATAATGCCTGTTCAACCCATGGATTAATGCCTGAAAAACAGATAACCATTGACAGACAAAAGATCAAATTGCGAATCAGAAAGATTCTAAGCAACACCTTTATTTTATTTCTCTTTCGTAGTAGGTAGCTTTTAAGAAACCCCAATGCACTATTTTTTTAGAACTTACTTGAATGGATGGTTTATTGAGATGTCCGAGGTTAGATGTTGTCTGCCTTGGCTCTTGGCCAAGCATCATAGTTTGTGGATTAATCAAGCGAAAGGCATCAATCACCACCTTTCCTTTGACACTCTGAATTGGATCCACCACCACTGCCACAGCTCGTTGATTCAGCGCCTCAAAACTCTGCAGGATATCATAGATGTGAGGAAATCAGGTGGTAAAATATCACTAAATACAAATGAACTTTTTGCACATTCAGAGGAAAAAATCCTGTGAAATCTCATCTAACACAAGGGCAATAAAAATATGAAGGCACCATGAATTCAAACAAAGAATCGGTAAAATAAATTTTAAAGAAAATGGCTGAACATAAACCAAGTATTGAGGGGAGGAAGAGGCTACAGACAGCTGCAACAAGGAAAAGCTGTGGCAAAATGATAAAGACAACACACAACTCAACCTTTTCCCAACTAACTGTCAGCTACATGAATCCTATTTTTTTTATTCTGCTCAGACATGGATTCTAAAAGATAATAACATCTTTGGATAGTTATGGGAGAGTATCAACCACAGCAATATAATGGAACCACCAAAGGCAGCAATGAGAAAAGAGAGAACAACGACACTCGGGGAGAAGAGAGAGAGAGAGACAAACTGAGAGAGAGAGAGAGAACAACAACATTCAGGAAAAGAGAGAGAGATAGGACAACCACCTGTTGAGTGTTGATGTCTACACCAGAGAGCCAACAGCCAAATCCAGGATGTGAATGATACCAACCTACCACCATCTCTGGTCTGCAATGCCAAGCAAAATAACAAGCTGAGCATACCGACTGTAAAATCTAATCAAAACATGAAGCAATTTGTCCTTACAGCAAAAAAGCTTCTACTAGGACCATAAGCCAATTTTACAAACAAGCGCAATTGATTCAATGAATTTTTAAAGTTTTATATGACTCCTAGAGCAAACAATTCACTTCAAAATTAAAGGATCAGATACAAAAATATATTGTCAACTTTCAGTGGGATAAACTAAAATTTTTGTGCATCGACAAGCACAGTAACTGATTAACTGACCTTAGATGTGGTCAATTAATCATTTGCAAGAGACACATTTGATCTACAACAGCAATATATCTTTCTAGATGAATCTCAAAAATATATTGTCTGCTTTAGATGGGATAAACTAAAATTTAGTTGTGTAGACAAACACAGTAATTGATTGATTGACCGAAGATATAATCAATTAATCGTTTGCAAATGACACAATTTGATCTACATGAGCAATATATCTTTCTAGACGCATCTTTAACAAAAGACGTGCTCCCCCATAAATTCAGCATGACATTGATCATTTTTACTCATGTAAAATATGCTGCTCAAATCCATTGAATTGTTCCAAACTTCCACAATGCGTTGTGGCTGCCTCTCAGATATTGCTCCCTTATCTCCAGCTAAACAAAACCAAAGATTATTGCATCGATGCCCTTCAAAGAGCAGGCATTCCCAGGCTTTCTTGGAATGAGAGGTATTCAAATCCTCTGTTCCCAATGCAAAATGTCAAGACCTTTTTTTTACTTCGCTTCCAACTTCCTCGTGCATCTTTAAATGTCATCAAAATAAATTATATATATATATATATATGTATATCATCGAAATAAAAAGCGACGGGTTTTTTGGTCATTGAGCTCCTTGTCATGCTAAGATACAGGGCAACCGATCAGTACCAACTATTACCTTAACCTGACTGGTATTACCTGCCACTCCTAAAAGGGGAAGTGCAGGGTTTAAGCCCCAGATGGGACAGCCTCCCAGCCTCTTTCAAGTCCTGAACTAGAACATATATATATATATATATATATATATATATATATTTTTTTTATGAGTCGGTCCTGAACTAGAACTAGATGGCTTCTTGAGCAAAACTGCATCCATCATTGAGTTTTAATTGCCTTTTAATTGCTTATAATTTGAACCATGACTTGATTTTTGCCTCCACGGACACCAAAACTTCCACAAACACCAAAGATTCAATTGCACTGTATGTACTTATAAGTTGAATGCTGGATGCTTACCACTAAATATCCAGCCACCATCATTGAGAACCAAAGGCAGCTTCTATGAAAAAAATATAAGAAAGCAAATATTAAGGATGGGTTTAATTGTCTATCTTGTGCTACAGATTTCATGCTGCATTTTTTTCTTTGGTGCCATATTTATAATTCTAAATGATGAAAAACAATCAAAGGGCCCACTCAGTCCCCCTTCATAGGATATGTTCTCCATGTTCCTGAGTCAAAAAACAGAAACTCAGGAGAAAATGATCTGGTGCATTTGTTTTTCTTTTAAAACAAAATGGAGGTAATAGCAATTTTTTTCTATTAACATTTTTATAGATAAGTAATGAGAGTGGACACTCTCAGAATTGATTCCTGCTAGGTGCAAACAATTCCTTGGTTTGGGGTGGGGGGTTGGGGGGGTTTTGTGAGTACCAACTAGGAGGAAAAAAATGAGAGTGTACACAACCAGAGCACATCAGAATAAAAAGAAGCAATACCTACGCTCAAATCCCCTGCAAATTTTAAGAACTTTTCAGAAATCCAAAATGACTGAAATATATTCATTCTCAAAAGCGGTCTTGATATCTGACGCTAGTAATGAAGGTATGGTTCTAGTAATTCAATATTCTCTAGGTTCAGGGTTGTCCATCTATTTGAAGTTGGTACTGTATAAGAACCAATCATCAATGGCATTTTCCCTTAGAGAACTTTTTGAAGGATATTTTTAGGCATTATAAACATAAGATTACACTAATAAATAAGAAGGAAAGATAAAATAGTAATGAGAGTGTTCACATCATAAAATTTTTAGGTAGAAAAGAGTTCCATAGAATACTTTCCAACTTTTCTCTAGTTTTAGCATAACAAAGTTAAGATGAAATATAAGGCTCAATGAGAGGTACTATCATAAAATTGGTTTTGATATGCGACACATCAACGAAGGTACAGTTGCAGTAATTCAACATTCTCTAAGTTCCACCTATTTTGAGGTTGGTTATGTATAAAAAAAGACCAAATTGGTTATTTTCCTTAGTGAACCCCTTTGTGAAGGGCATTTAAAGGATTATAAACATAAGATTACCGTAATAGATAAGAAAGAAAGATATAATGGTAATGAGAGTGTTAACAACATAACCTTTTTTAGGTAGAAAGGAGTTTCTTAGATATTATCACTTTCGAATTGTGTTCTCTTAGTTTTAGTATAACAAACTTATGAAAAAATCCTAAGACTTAAAGCTCAATGAGTAACTATCATTAAATTGCTTGATATGTGAGAGTGGTGATGAATGCATGGTTCTAGTCATTCAACATTCTTTAGGTTCCACAGGGTTATATTGAAGGTGTGGTTCTAGTGATTCAACATTTGCTAGGTTTCACTGGGCCAAACAAAGGTTTGTAATTATGTAATTTGTCATCTTTATGTTGCAAGTGGAGCATATCTCTAGTTGGTTGCCCATGGTTATAGCCTCAAGTGGGTGAATCGGCCAACTTAATCCCTATGAAATAAATTGATTTTGAATTGGATTCAATCTATGATCCCTATATGCCTAAGTGCAACTTAATCAGGATTCCCATCGCATCAACAATTTATAAACCAGGGGCGGAGCTCCATCCAAACCACCACCCAAAAACACTCCAAATGGATATTTGGGATCCCGCCCATCAAAGAAACCACCAAAGTTTAGATCAAGGAACTTTGACCTCAGCAATAGAATATCAGTAAAACACTCCCATTAGCAAAACACTCACATCCTCTACTTCGGAATCAAGAGGCCATTCAATTTAGGTAAAGAAAATACAAAATTAATAGGAATAGGGAGCCATCAAGAGGCGCAACAAAATATATGATCAACAAATGGAAACTTAACATTAAGCTTGGTGTTTCATCTTGGGCTCTTCTTTGCCAACTTTTCAATGGTTTCAAACAAATTGATAAACAAAATATTAAGCACGTGATATAAATGTCAAGCTATACAATAAACTCTTTATCACCAACAAATAGTTCATGGGACCTAGCTAAGTAACCTTTTATATCATCCCGGTTCGGAGTTTAAAACTGACGTGAATGATTTTAAAAAATTATACCTAAGAGAAGACATAGTGTATAATGAGAAATAATGAAAAAAGAGAATTCATGTGGCCGACCCCGTCATATGGGACAAAGGCAAGGATGATGATGATGATGATGCCATCATTTATAGTTCCAAAAGTTCATCAAACATGTTTAATTCTCTTAATTCCTTCGAGGTGTCCTAGATTATTGCTTCAAAAGAGACAACATTGAGTATTCCCCAAGAGGGGGAACATCAAGTTCTGTGCTTTTTTAAAGCAAAAATCATATTGAACAGAAAATTAGGAGAACAAGGTTCTACAAGATAGAGAGATGGCTATCTGTAAATCTTCGAGGGTGTCTCAAGGGACTGTTCCCAAAGTAGCTATTCCTAACCTCTTGGGATGTAAGGGCGAGATATTTCTTTTTGCAAAAAGAGAGGATATGCTAGATTACTTTGCTCTCTCGTGCTTTAGGGTTCCCTCCTGCTTGGCAGTGATTACAGCTTCATTGTATAATCCTTATTATTGAACATATAGCCAGAACTTATAGCCAGAAGAATCTACAATGAAATTTGAAAAAAACAGAAAAGAAAAAGTGATTACCTTCCGGTTTGTTTCAGCATATCAAGCATGTTGGTCTGGAAAACATGATCAACGGCTTCAACACTGACACCGGTACCACTCTGCGGCATCGCAAAAACATCTACAACACGAACAGTATACTCATCCACGAATTCGCCCAGCATCAATCCCATTACTTCCATAGGAACTCCCGCTCTCCCTATCAATCCCAATCCCCAAATATAACAAAATGGATCAGTAAACCCTAATTAGGTTTATGTGTTGCCTATATGACTGTGTTCATACATACAAATACAAATATATGTTGTACAATAAATTAAAAAAAAGAACCCTAAATTTTTTAAAGAACAAGAATGCGTTGGTATATAAAAGATTACCATGTTTGAGCATTTTGAGGAGAGCAAGAGAAGAGATGTAAACTTGCTCCGACGAATCGAGAGTCGGAGAATCCGGTGGCGGGTGTCCCAACGCCCCTCCAGCACCGGCGAACATTCTCTGCAATCTCTCCATCCCTGACATTTTCTCTCTCGCTTTATATCTTTCTCCGATCAGAATTCGATTTCTTTGGCAGCAAGAGAGCTCGAAATCGTCCTCTTCTGGAATATAGAGTAGAATATAAAGAAATGTTTGCACTAATGCCCCTGTGATAAATATCTATATCACCAGCATGCCAGATTTAAGACGTATTTACACTACTACACTTTACTTTCCTAATAATTCAAATGACCGACCTAAAAATAGTCGCAAAATAGAAAATTACTATCTTTTTTTTAGCACCTGTGTTGTTTTTGTCATGTACTATCTTGGTACCTTATTGTCATGGACTTGGATCTTTCCAAGTGCCCGTGCGGCTTTAGACACTTTCAAGCCCCCTTGAAGTGCTAAGTCAGACTGTTTGTGTGTGCTAGCTTAGTGAAGACTAAGGCTATGTTTTGCTTACTTAGGTGTGTAGGAAGAGATTAGGCAATTGAGCAAGAGAGTTTGAAAATGTATGAACACTTGTATTACTTGAGAGGATATTACAACTTAGGTTGCTTGGTGAGGAGCAAATGAACTCTTGGTGTGTCTCGGGGTATCAATCCAAAACCCACGGTTTGTGATACCAAAAGATAATGGTGTAGAGCTATGATGAATGTGGCCAAGTTTTACATTTAGAAATTGTCACTACTACCTTTCACTAAAAATATAGTTAGGGCAAGTAGGGATTATCCCAAGGGATTGGTGGGTCGTACTAGATTGAGGAATCAAGATTAGGGTTAGGAGGTCGAGTGATCAAAAAATTGGTTGGTGGTTGAATTACACTAAGATGCAATTTAAACTAAAGTAGGCAATTAAATGTAATGGAGAGAAAATAAGAGAGAAATCTTAGGATTTAAAGATCACCACTAAGCATAGTTTTTCTACACCCTTAATGAATGATTAATGAGGGGGAAAAACATGTATTGCAACAAAGTGTGTGTGTGTGGTTGTTTTAACAAGCATGGATGGCAAATTAAGTATTTATTGTCTAAGCAACATGGTGGATAGCACAACATATCAAATTAAGCCATTAATCCTTTCTTTAAGCTCACAACCAAACACATCACAAGGTTAGAGATATATGTTATTTGCTTTTATAAGTATGGAACATCAAACAACAAGCATGAATTGTCCTCCCATTTAACATCTAAACTACAACTACACTACAATTAAGCTAATGACATGAAATTAAACTAATTAAACTAAGGGGGAGGTACAATCCATGAAGAAATGAGTATGAACCATCAAATAAACCATAAGAACATTCCATTAAGCACTATGTCTTGACAATCTCTAGATCTATAGCATTAATGCACATAAACATGCATCAATAACACAAGAAATGGAGACAAACACATGAACATCTATTCTAGCATACATAGACATATGGATAGAATGAAATGATTAATTGGAAGCATTAAACCATATAAATCATTGAATAAACAAGATCTATATATATAAAAGTGTCAAAACATGTATCACAATACAAATCCCCTAAAAAATACATAAATCAAGATGTAGAAAACATGCTTAGGGCTAACTCTAGCCCCAAGAGGATGTCTAGCCACTCATGGATGGTGTTCTCTAACCCTTAAGGGCTAACTCCATGGTAGAGATTGTTCCTCTTCTTGGTTGATGGAAGAACTCCAAGCTTGTGTCTTTAGCCTCCTCCTTTCTTTTCTTCCTTACTAAGATATGAAAATTGTGTCTCTCAAGTATATCAAAAGTCTCTAGTCTCCCCCTCAAAAAGTGGCTCATATTCCATATATAGGTAGGTCAAATATCACCCCAAATGAGTTGGGCTCGTACACCAATATTCCTCCAATGATTAGATATGAGACAACTTTTAATGAGCTGGAATTTGAATTTTCTCAAGATTTGAGAAGTTCGATCGATCGAACTTGTCGTGAGATCAATCGAACATGACTGAGATTTATCGAATTGAAGCTGAATCGATCCTCTATGGCGGCGCCTTTTTGGATAAAAACAAATCTGAGATATTTTGAAGATATTTTTGGGAAAAGGACAAAAGTGGTTGGTAGGGTGGTACAGCTGGATAAGATCTAGCATGTGGATAAGGACAGGAAAGTTCAATCTATTAGAGAATCAAGTTGGATCGATCGAACTTTGAGATCTTTGAATAGGAACAAACATGGCTCAGATCCATCTTGAAGTGCTGGGATCGATTGGTGCGACCAAGCGTGTGCACAAAATAATGCACAACACTTTAGGTTTAGAAATAATGTCAAGTGGGCACCATATTTTAAAATTTATAAAACCACTAAACACTTATACTATGGAGTATGAAGTGAGCAAGGATCGTCCCAAGAGATCTAAACAATTATAGGTTTTCTAGAATTGAATTCTACTTTAGTACTTATGTGATTGCCAAAAGGGTTTTGTTTGTGATTAAAACTAATTTTAAACTAAATGATTGCAATAAAGAAATAGAGTTTAAGAGATTGGAAAGAGACTTAGGGTGTAGGATTCACCACTAAGCACATTCCCTAACTCACTCACTTTCAACTAATTGGGGAAATAATACTATGTAATCTATATGTGGCTAACAAGTGCAATGAAAAATGTAAACCATCAATTTCAAGCATGAATCAACTACCTAATGACAATTAAACTAAGTGCAGTGCAATTCACCCATTCAAAGCATGATTTATCAATCCAAGTTACAAATTTAACAACATTAATCTAGAAGATAATGCAATTGTGACAAAAAGTATGGAATTCAAACATAAGTACGGATGGTCTACTTACCTATTAATTGAATTGCAATTAAATTAATTAAACTTAAATTAAACTAATTAAACATGAATTTAAAACTAATTAGACAACAAATTAACCTAAACATGTAGTACCATCCATCAACTGGAAGCATTTTTCATCAATTTGAAACACAATTACAACTAAGCAATACCATGCATAGCCATCACAAGAATCAATTAACAAAGAATTCATGTGTAAAATTTGTTTATGAATCAACCACACATAAGACAATATGAGATTAATACAGATAATCAATTGGAAGAATTTAATTCATAATATTCAAGACTATACACTAATTACATAAATTAATCCCCAAAAAGTATGAAAAGAGAGAGAGAATAGGTTACATGCTTAGGGTTTATCCAACCCTAAGTAGAAGAATCAGCCACTCATGGTTGATGGAGTCGAAGACAGGACAATCCCCATCATCTGCTTCATCTTCTCTGAACTTTTCTTCCAAACCCTAGTCTGTTCTTGCTTTTTTATCTTTTTTCGTGTGTTTTTCCAGAGAGAAAATACGATACTACGATACAGAAAAATAATAATAAAATAAAACTTAATTAATTTCTCTAATAATCTTTACCTAAATAAAAACTAAAACTAACCCTAATCTAATGGCTCACTGGGCCTTAAGTAACAATCTCATTAAAGCCCAACAGTTCCCAAAATGAGCCCAAAAATTAAATAAAAACTGTAATGTTGCTAAGTCCTGGGGGATCGATCCCCCACCCTGGGGATCGATCCCCCCAGAGTTGACAAATTCCTTTAAGCCTTATTCAGCTCCATTTTTGCCCCGGGCTATTTGGTTTGCTTCTCCATCTTTGGGAACATCATCAAAGGCCCGAAATTGACCGCTTTGTGCCATTGTCTGAAAATCTTTGCTTAACTCCAAAAAGGCTTAATTGGACCGTTCTTAGCTCATTTTAACTTTATTACCCTGAAATACACATAAACATAAATTAGGACTAAAACATAAACTTAAGATGGATGCAAAGACTGAAATACCTTAGCTTAGGTGCTGAAATGTGCAACAGTTAAGCACTTATCACGCCCCCAAACTTAGATATTGCTAGTCCCTAGCAATAAACTACAGCATGGAAATGAAACAAACATATATACAATTATGAACTAATAAAGCAAATAAAGATAACACCACTTTCGTAGGGATCACGGTTGCATTTAGCATATGCAACAAGCCTTTTAAACCCCTAGGTTACCCCTAGTGGACGAGTGAAGTCTCGTGAGGGTTTGCAGAAATGATCCCCACAAACATCAACAGCTCTTTCTTACTTGAGAAGCAACGACATATATCAAATAAGTGTTTAAAGTAGACTACTTCAAGTATGCAAATTTCTGCCATTTCTAAGCTATTCTCAATATTTCAACATCATGTAAGCAACAATGGTCCTCCACACATCAAGCAAGTTAATCATACAAATTGAATCAATTCTGTCATCCTTTTTTAGTGAACCAGCATCAAAATGTGTTGCTATCTTAGCAAATCAAAGTAATGGCATAGCGTTACCCTCAAACTAGCATACAGATATAGTACCAGACATCAAGATATTGAATGAACCTTGTTATTCAATCAAACATTTTTTTATTGATTTCATTTTTTTTTAAATTTTTTTTTAATTTTTTTTTTTTTTTTTTTTTTTTTATGTATGACTATGTGTAATGTCCAAGTTCATTAAGCTCTCTAATCACCTCATGTAACAAGCGTTGAGCCAACGACTCCCAAACCAGATGGTCGTAGGGCGTTAAGTGTAAAGACACTCCTAAGGGCGTAATGACTCAGAATGACTAGGCTACGAATTCAAACTAATCATACATCTTACATTCTTTCTTTGTCTTCCTTTTTAATCAGTTGACATGTTGAAAGAATGCAGTTTTTTTTTTAATTTATTTCTTTCTTTTCTTTGCAAGGTCATTTTATCAAGAATGAAAGCTTTCAAAACATACTAGCTCAATTGGAACAAACCAAGACAATAATCAACGAAGCATGTACCCCACAAATTAAATGCTAGTGTGTACAAGTGCAAGTGTAGAATTCTAGAATCAACTCTCAAAGCATTTTTAGCCAACAAGATGATGTGTACCACAAGAGCAAACAGGATATCAAAAATTAAAAATTTACCCCTAAATGGCATCCTAGAGCATACAAGAAATATTAGACTCTAACAACTTGCTTTTCAAAGGCACTATGCTTCAAAAGTTCGAAATCATTGCCAAACACATCTCAAATCTCATCATGCATTTAAAGCTTAACTTAAAATAGAGTGAAGCATGATGACCTTA